ATTAATCAGGGAACTGTTATTACATGTGTTAAGCAGAAAACTATAAATATATAGTAGAGTTAAACTTCGTGATGGTATTTCCCTTGGGAATTTAATTGCCAAACCTCTATCATGCATATCAGCATGATTTGAATGGAGGAGCTGAAAGGAATACTTTTCAGAAGATGAGAGAAGAAATGTAACATCTGCAATAAAATGGGACATTTCATTACATAGAGGAAAGAAAATAGGACACATTTTATTACATAAAGAAAGCAGACTTGAAATCACAGACAACAAAGAAAGATAATGAGATGGAGTTGCAAAAACAAAGGTGCAGACCAAGGACTAATATCTATGTTACTAAATAATTGCTTATTTGAAATTGGACATGATTGTGAAAGAAAAAAAACAAATAGCTTCAGGTTAACGTATCTGCAATAAGGACATGCCTTGATGAATCTTATCAAGGAAAAATTGATTTAGTAAATGAAATGTAAAGAGATCTATGTGGAAAAACAGTATTAAATTGAAATGCCTGGTGAATCATTATGAAAGCAGAAATATAGTACAGGTAGTCCTCGAGTTACAGCCAAAATTGAGCCCACAATTTCTGTTGTTAAATGAGACATTTGTTAAGTGAGTTTTGCCCCATTTTATGACCTTTCTTGCTACAGTTGTTATGTGAATCACTTCAGTTGTTAAGTCAGTAACCTGTTGTTAATTGAATTTGGCCTCTCCATCCACTTTGCTTGTCAGAAGGTTACAAAAGGGGATCATATGACCCTGGGACACAGCAACCATCATAAATATGAGCCAGTCTGAATTTTGAACACATGACCATGGGGATGTTGCAAAAGTCATAAGTGTGAAAAACGGTCATAAGTCACTTTTTTCAGTACCGTTGTAACTTCGAACAGTCACTAAATGAATGTAAGTAGAGGACTACCTGTATTACAATAATAATATTTTGTAGCTGAATTGGATCCTAATGATATAGGTCTCTGCTATTGTCAAAGTATTGATTTAACAGCTAACCAGCTTATGTAATGTAAGATGTAAAGTAATGATGGGAATGACTCAGCAGGGTCTGTATCTCTTTGAGAGCCTTTGTATAAAGGGAAGGCTCTGCTGATGTGTTCTCTCTCTCTTCCGTTTCCTGCTGTAACTGTGGTTTGTTGGATCCTGCTGTATTAGCAAGTGTATGTATATTGTTCCTGGTGTATGATATTGTAGTTAGTGTAAGATAAGCCACCATTTAATACAAACCACTGTTTACTGTGTTTTACTCCTGGGTTATCTCAGCGCAGTAAGATTGTGCATGCTCTGACAGCTATCTCATGCAACAAGCTGTAAAACTAGGCTTAAAAATGGCATCATTAGAAAAACAGAATGACTGTAATTTGCAGGAACTTATGAATCCTTATGCATGTAACAGGAAGTATGGATAATAATAATCCTGCAAAATTGCCAGAAGATTTGGTCACAGAGATGAATCTGCCATTAAAATGACTGAGTTTTGTCCCTGCTAGAAACAAAAGGGATCAAAATACACTTGTTGCTTAAAGGAAAAAGGAAACCTTCCCCAGTCATTCAGGACTTTTTTTTCCCTTTCAAATATTTGTAGTCCCATGCCAGTCAAACTAAGGGTGAGAAAATTTATGTACCATTCATAGGCTGTCACTCAAAAGTATATTTGGACATACTTCTGAAACATTTAAGGAATTCAAACTGTTGGGTGCTTGTGTAAAAACAGGTTCAACTTGAAAAAACAAGGAAATTAAGCTCTGATCATGGAGGAGAATATTGTCACTGGGAATTTGAGAAATATTTGGCAATGAAGATCTAAAATATGAAAAAACCCACACTGTTATAGCCGTGAACAAAATAGGTTTCTGAAAAAAAAGAAAGTCTGCTAAGATCAAAAGATCTTTGTTATTGCAAGATTCCCAGGCTATTTTTGAGGAAAAGCAGTTACTCGTTTTCAAAATTATTTGCCTATATAAAGTGAAGATAAAACCCTACATGGGGGCAGCCATGATCTGTTGCACCTAAAGGTATTTTGATGCAAAGCTTTTCCGTATCCCGGCAGTCCCCGTTTCATTTAGCAACCATTCAAAGTTACAGCAGCGTAAAAAAAAAAAAGCTTTATGACCAATGCTAACATTTGTGAGTGTCACAGTGTCCTGCAGTCATGTGATTTGGGCACTTCCCAATTGGCTTACAACAAGCAAAGTTAATAGAGAAGAGAGAAGTGAAGTTATGTGAAGTTTCACTTAACAACTGAATGGGAAATGAGATCCTAAGCCTGTCACAGTCAGGTATTTTTCTGCTTTATAAACCACAGCACTTAGTGATGGAGTTGCTGGTCCCAATTATAGTCTCTAAGCGAGGACTACAGGTGGTCCTCGAATTAGGATCATATTGAGCCCAAAATTTCTGTTGCTAAGCAGGACAGTTGTTAAGTGAGTTGCACCCCATTTTATGACCTTTCTGCCGCACTTGTTAAGTGAATCACTGCAGTTGTTAAGTGAATCATGTGGTTGTTAGATGAATCTGGCTTCCCCATTGACTTTGCTGGTTGGAAAGTTACACATGGTAATCACATGACACCGGGACATAAATACATGTCAGTTGCCAAGCACCTGAATTCTGATCACATGACCACAGTGTTGAAAGAAAAATCTTCATTAGAGTCCAGTCCAAGCCGGGAATAATCAAAATGGAGACTGCTTTACAAAGAAGGTTGCAGTTTATTGAAGAGGAGAGCCGGAAAGATGGCTCTGGGAAAAAAACTGACCACATGTAGTAGGGAGTGGTGGGCTTTTATACCTTCTTGAGCTTCTGTTTGGAGTTGTTCCTGTGGCATCAACTTTGACCTGAGTGTGCCTTTCTGGTATTCTGATAGTGGTGGGTTAATCCTATTATGTCCTAAAGGTCATATCTGGCTTCCCTGGGGCTGTGGCTGATGACTGTTGGATTTTTGGCATCAGGGATTGTTGATTCTAGGGATCTTCGTCTTTTTTAATCCAAACTTCGTGGCTCCAATCTTTCTGACAAGATTATCACATCTGCATTTCTGCAGACTTGGTTTCTGTTTGGGACAGAGAGACTTGGAGGGTGGGGGTTGTTTCTTCCTTTAAGATCCTTTGGAGAAATATATTCTGCCTTTTTAATATTCCCCAAAATATTTCTTTCTCTGAATTCTTCCCACAACAGAAATGCTGTAGCCTCGCATGAAAAAAGTCACTTTTTTTCCAGTGCTGTTGCAACGTCGCACAGACACTAAATGAATTGTTGTAAGTCGAGGACTATCTCTACCTGTATCTCAAGTTCCTTCTCTGGGCTGTAAAAGAGCAATTGGTCCAAGAGCACCGACCTGGCTTCGCCTCCAAGAAGGACTAGAACTCACAAGCTCCCAGTTTTTAGCCTGGTGCCTTCATCACTACATCAAACTCTCTCTTGGCCTGAACTAGAAGCGGTTTTAAAGCTCACCGCCAGCTTTCTGAATTATGCCAGAAGCAAATTGCCAACGGGCATATATTTTCAGCATCAGTGCAACATGGGCTCTGAGTTCTTCCAGAGACCAGTTTGCAGAATGCGTGCAACTGGTCGTAAGTCGAGGACTACTCAACCGGTCGTAAGTCGAGGACTACTCAACTGGTGCAGCACCGTTTGCAGAATGGGACTTTTGGTGGGCTCAGCAGGGCAGAGACAGCCTGGACAATTCCTATTGGCTTTTGAAAGCCAATAGAATTAGACTCTATTCAAGAGAGTCTATTCTGTTGGCTTTCAAAAGCCAATAGAATAAAAGGGAGTAACACAGCTAAGGAAAAGGGGAAAAAAATGGCGAACTGCGTTGTTTGGCGACCCCCGTGAAATGGTCGTTCGACCCCAAATGGGGTCCTGACCCACAGGTTGAGAACCACTGTTCTAAAGTGTAGCAAGAGGCTTATAGAGCTCCTATTTAATGGTCCTATGGCACAGCTATGGCATTACTCTGGGCAGAAATACAGCTACTATTTGACAATATTCTAATACCCATATATAATTCAAAACCATGTGCTCACTGGGGAGGGAGAGGGAAATCTGAGGGGGGAGGATTTACACTTTAAATTTACTTCTAGAGCCTGCACACATATTCCCTCCCTCCCTCTCTTTCTCTCTCACACACAAACACATGTCAAAGTAACTGGCATAAGAGGGATTTGCTTCCGATGCTCAGCTGCCAACCATTCTCTTGGGAATAATTAAATTATTGAAATAAAGTAATAAAAGCATCTGCAGCCATTTGCATGCCTGAATATTTACCCTCTAAATATATATATTTTTAAGAAAAATTCAAAGATGCGACATCATGTCTGTATTTGCCTATTTGCAAACACTGTGATTAACCTGCTTGCCTATTTTCCTATCCCTGGCTGATTCAAGTGCCTTGTTGATCTTCTCTGGAAATTTAGTATAGATTGAGAAGGACATCTAGCTCTTTGGAACCTGCATGAGAATATGATAGTGTCAATTATGCCGGAGGACAAAAATGACATAATCTTCTAAAGTCTTGTAAGCTGCTGTGGGAAAGTTGGCTAGTATTTACCTAATGTGAGCCCAAATGTTCCTTTAGCCCAGGGGTCTTCAAACTTGGCAACTTTAAGACTTGTGGACTTCAACTCCCAGAATTCCTCAGCCAGCATGCCTAGCTGTCTGGCTGAGGAATTCTGGGAGTTGAAGTCCACAAGTCTTAAAGTTGCCAAGTTTGAAGACCCTTGCTTTAGCCCAAGGATGGGCAACAATGTCCCCTTTATGTCCTGTGGACTTCAACTCCCAGAATTCCTGAGCCATCACGGCTGAAGACCGTATTATTCAGATGGCGATCCCTGATGAAACGCTTTCATTGCCTATCAAAATTAACCCTGGAGCTCTGTTAATTCCTACAGGAAATGCCTATTACGAGTCTGCTTATCTTATCTTCTTGAATGTAGAATTCTAGCAAATTATTTGGCCAAACAATAATGACGTAACACTTCAGATTGTGCAGAAATTTAATCAACACAGCATTGATGAACAAGTACTTGGCAATGTTTTAGGTGGTTTTGGCTCTGGGGTGCTCAGCATATCAAATTCATTTCTTTCTTTTTTATTCATGTACAAAGTCTTTATTATTGCCGTGCACCCTGTGAAGAAAGCACTAGATTGGCAGGATTATACAGGTAGTCCCCGATTTATAACCCTTCATTTAGTGACCATTTGAAGTTACAACGGCGCTGAAAAAAGTGACTTAGGACTGTTTTCCTCACTTATGACCGTTGCAGCATCCCCATGGTCACGTGATCAAAATTCAGAGATTTGGCAACTAGTTCATATTTATGACAGGTGCAGGGTCTGCTGGTCATCTGATGATCCCCTTTTGTGACCTCCTGGCAAGCAAAGTCAGTGGGGAAGCCAGATTCACTTAACAAGCGTGTCACTAACTTCACAGCTGCAGCAATTCACTTACCAGCCATGCAAGCAAGGGGGCAAAATTCACTTAACGAATGTCTTGCTTAGCAGCAGAAATCTGGGGCTCCATTGTAGTTGAGGACTGCCTTTACTCTTACTACCAGTATGATCAGAGAAGTGATTCTTAAAATTATCCTACAACGCCTGGCTTGAGAGGTCCTACTTCTCACGATCTCGGTTGTAATTCCAGAATAACTGCATATGTAGGTTGGTGCAACGTGGAGGGCTGTTTAACTTGAGCAGCTGGAATATCTAAAATTCTTTGGTGGCCGTCGTAGGATTCTTGATAGAAACCGGAAAAGTTTGACTGCAGTTTAGTCTACAAAGCAGGTCCAAGGGAGAATGTTTTTAAGCTATGTCTCCTCGTGCTCCTCCTGTCTGAAAGCAGGATTGTGGTTTGCTGTTTCCTTCGTATCTTGTGGGCCAGGCAGGATGTGGGTGGCTGCCTCACTCTCCCGTCCTCGTACTGACGTCTTGCAGGCTGTGGAGAAGAAATGGAATGAATGGAGCATTAGAACAGAGTGCATTCTGGGATATTAATCTTCTCTCTAAAAATTACTAATACAAATAGTCCTCTATTTACCACCATAATTGGGACCAGAAAGCCAGTCATAAGTTGTTACAGTCATAAATCAAGGCACCTGTTGCGTCCTTGGCGGGAAAACAGACACGAGAAACAGCTGGAGTTCTCAGGTTCTTTTATTCAGCGTTCAGCTTACAGGAAGATGGCTTCAGCTCAGCCCAAACGCCTCACAGCCTCTTATATAGGCAACTCCCGGGTAAATGGGTTACTTTTCCCGCGCCAGCACCCGCGCATGCGCACGGCGCTGGCGACAGCCTGTCTGGTCCCTGGCAGCTTTGCACCTGCCCGGGACTGCCTGCAAACGCCCGAGCCGTTTGCAAGGCTCGGGACATAACACCCCTTTCCCCCGGGCTAAAACTACTATCAACCTACAACATTTATTTTACACGACAATTTGCTCCCCAGTGTTCCCACTGTTTACTGGCTTTTGTCTTGCCAACAATGTTATGTAATCTTCTAGGTACTTAGGAGATTTCTTTGCTCTCTGTGACCTTCTTAGCTCTGGGTTACTGGCATAAGTCCCCTGACTGGAGGGAGGCGTGAGCCTGTTCTCTCTACTGTGCCCTGGTGTCTTCCAAGGACTGTGCCCCGATGCCTGGCCTGCTTGCTTGCCCACCGGGCTCGTCAGGCCAGGGCTTCTGTTGCTTTGGGACCTGGTTGTCCTACCTAGCTGTAGCCCCTCAGGCCCCTTGAAGTGATAGCCACTGCTGGGCGTCTCTGTAGAACCCCCTAGGTCAGTCCAAGACCTGTCAGGAGGCTGTCTATTCCCTGAACCCCATTCTGTTTTTGGGCTCGTGTGGGTTTCTGTACTCTCCCAAAACTCAGGTGTCCCCTGATTTGTGCTAGGGGTGTTGTAGTCGGGACTTGGTTCCTCGACTAGCTCTGTGTATGTTTGACCCCCTGTAGGATTTGGGGTAAGGTCAGGCCAACCTTGGGCATTGTGTGCCAGCTCTCTTGCGGGGAATGATTTGTTTGGATGCCCCCGGGTATCCTCCGTTGCTGGAGTGCTGTGTGCTGTGTGTGGAAAGTGAGTATGCCCCCGGGGTAACTCCCTGGCTGGAGTAGGCGTGAGTGCCTGTTGTGTGGGTAAGCTCCAAGACTTCCTTTTCGGAGCAATTGCAGACTCTTGGGACGAGCCGTTTGTGGCTCCCTCAGTGGCGATGGGCAGTAGCTCTTGCCCTTCCCTTTGCTCCAAAGGGTCCCCCTCCCCCCCTGGAAAAGACCCAGGAGTTTCAGCAGAAAAGTCCCGCCTAGAGCGGAGTTGGTCGTTGTGCCGACGCAGGACACGACCGTTGTCCAGGGCAACCTCGTAGGAGAGAGGACCTGTGATCCTGGACACAGAAGCGGGGACCCATGTATGACCAGGCCCGTAATTGCGAGCCCAAACCGGGGCACCCACAAGTAGTTGTCTAGGTGCCCTAGGATGTGAGTTAGATGAAGGCAGTCTGTCCGGATGCAACCGGTCAAGTCTCGTAGTAAGTTGGCGCCCCCAACGAAGTTCAGCTGGACTTCTCCCTGTAGAAGTGGACGGTGTGGTGCGATAAGAAAGGAGAAAGTCAGCCAACCTGTGATGCCAGTCCCCGTAGGTGAGTCTCTTCAAGGCGTCCTTTGCGATGCGCAACATGCGTTCAGCCATACCGTTGGTGGATGGGTGAAAAGGCGCAGATGTGGCATGACGAATCAGGTTTGCCTGTAAGAAAGCTTGGAATTCGGAGGAGGTGATTTGAGGGCCGTTGTCAGACACAATGACATCTGGCAGCCCGTGTGCAGCAAAAATCCCCCTCAGTACCTGAATAGTCTTTGCAGTGGTGGTGGACGAGACAGGCACAACCTCACGCCATTTTGAATGGCTGTCAACAAGGACCAAGAAGAACTGGCCCTGAAAGGGCCCAGCGTAGTCAATGTGCACCCTAGACCATGGGGACTGTGTTTCCTCCCATTTATGCACAGGAGCTTGGGGCATCTCTGGGCGAGATCGTTGGCACATGTGGCATGCGTGTACCTTAGCCTCAATATCTTTATCTAAAGCAGGCCACCACAATTGGCTGCGTGCAAGAGCCTTCATGCGAACAATGCCAGGATGACCCTCGTGGAGGGATTCTAAGACCCTAGTCCTCATTGAGGTGGGAATGACAACTCTGTTTCCCCAAAGCAAACAACCCTGAGAAAGGGACAATTCGTTCCTTTTGGACCAGAAACTCTGACACTCAGGACTAGGGCAGTGCTCAGGCCACCCGGACAGGACCCAGGAGCGGACACGTGAAAGTGTGTGATCTGTACCGGTTTCAGCGGTAACATCCCTGGCACTACGAGGGAGCTCGGGCAAGGCTTGGATTGATAGAATGTTGACAGCTGGCGCGGGGTCAGCTTCTACTACTGGCAGAGGCAACCTACTGAGGCCATCAGCATGGCCCATTTCTTTCCCAGGCTTGTGGAGTAATGAAAAATCATATGCAGACAAAAAATAGACCACCTAAGCATTCTAGGGGAAATGATGTGGGGAGTCTGCTTACGTGTGGTAAACAGTCCCAGCAGAGGCTTATGGTCAGTGAAGACCGTGAAATGCCTGCCATATAGAAAATCGTGGAATTTTTTAATTCAAGCAAAAACAGCCAGAGCCTCCCTGTCTATCTGAGCGTAGTTGCGCTCGGCAGAAGACAATGTTCTGGAGTAGTATGCAATAGGAACCTGAGTTCCATCAGACCGGAGGTGACTCAGGACAGCTCCGACCCCGTAGGGGGATGCATCACAAGCGATGCACACAGGGAGAGACTCGTTGAAATGTGCAAGAACACTGTTAGAAGTGAGCAAGGCCTTGACTTCTTTAAAGCAATCCTCATGTGCTTGTGACCACAGCCACACAGCTTGTTTGTCTAGTAGCCTGTGAAGAGGCTCAGCTACACTAGCTTTATGTGGAAGAAAAGAATTTTAGAAATTCAGGAGGCCTAAGAAGGCCTGAAGTTCGGCCTTAGACTTTGGCCTGGGTGCTTCTAAAATAGCAGTTAGTTTGGATTCAGCAGGATGAATCCCAGCAGCATCAATTTTGAATCCCAGAAATTCAGTAGAAGGCACCCCAATCTTGCATTTGTCTTTTCTGAGCTTAAGGACTGATTTCCTGAATCTTAACAGGACAGCCCTAAGCCTTTCAGCTAGAATGTGTGTGGAGTCTCCTGCAATCAAGACATCGTCAAAGTAGGGGCAGACCCCTGGTATACCTCGTAGTGTGTTTTCCATTACGCTTTGGGAAATCCCAGGAGCGACATTCACTCCAAACTGCAGCCTTTTTACCTTAAAGGCTCCCCTGTGGGTCACAATAGTCTGAGCTATGGCAGCATCATTATCAACAGGCAGCTGTTGATATGCTTGAGCTAGGTCAAGCTTTGCAAAAACACGCCCCCCCTTGAGAGAGGCCAGGATGTGACTGACCACAGGAACAGGATAGGCATGTTGCTGCAATGCCTTATTGAGTGTGCATTTGTAATCAGCACAAATGCGAATGTCCCCATTTGCCTTTAGAGGCGTGACAATGGGGGTCTCCCATGGGCTGGAATCAACAGGTTCTAGGATTCCTTGTTGGATTAGTTTGTCTAATTCAGTGTCAATCTTACTTTTAAAGCAAAAGGGACCCTTCTTGCTTTAATCCTAATGGGAGTGACAGTGGGGTCTAGCTTTAAGGACACAGGTGGTCCTTTGAATGTGCCCAGCTGGGGGCTGAAAACATCTGCAAAGTCCTTGCAGACTTCCTGTAGGTCGAGTGTTTGTAAGCTGTTGAGTCCTGTGACGTGTATCCCCAGGGCCTCAAACCAATCGAGTCCTATGAGACTCGTTCGTTCACCCCCTACTACTAATAAGTCTAGTGGACCTTCAAACTCTTGTATTGCACGTTAAGGGTGGCCTCCCCCTTAACACACACTCTTGAGTTCTGAAAATCAGTTAATACAATATCAGAAGGCCTTAACTTGGCCTTAGTCCCACTACTGGAACAAATCTTCCTAAATGTATGCAATGAAATGATGGAAAGGGCAGACCCTGTGTCTAGTTCCATAGATAATGGAACCCCTTGTAGCTTCACGTTGAGTGACAGCTTTTTCTTCATGGGCTTGTGTGTGCCTGTCCTACAGATGTTTCTACGCGAAGCGCAAAAACCTACCCTATTCTGGCTGGGGACTCTGGTACCCTTCAGGCGTTCTTCTTGGGGTTGTGCCTTTCGTCGGCCCAGACACACAGCTGCAATGTGCCCTTGTTTGCCGCATGCCCGGCAGGTAGCGGAGCGGAACTTGGAGTCGGTTCTCCTGTGGCGACCTCCACAGCCGATGCACTTGAGCGGAGCTGAAGAGCTTTCCTTCTGATTTTCTCCCTTCGCGGGGTGTAGACGGTCGACTTCTTCGTCCGGATCCTCCTCGGAGTTTCGTCGGACGTCTTCTTTGTGCACGGACGCACCCTCTGCACTGCTTCTGATCGGCCGCATGTTCTTGACGGCGCCGCCTGCTGCTTCTTCCGCGGTGGCTTCCCTTAAAGCGTCTTGGAAGGATAATTCGTCCTTAGCGAAAAGTCTCTGTTGTAGCTCTCGATGCCTCAACCCGCACACGAATCGGTCCCTCAGTCGTTCCTCGAGGTCCTTGAACTCGCAGGGCTTGGCGGCCTTCCGTAACGCGGCGATGTACTCCTTGGCTGACTCCCCGGACCGTTGATCCCTCTGCTCGAAGGTGTGGCGCCATGAGATAACGGACACCTTGGGGTGGAAGTGGTCCTTCAGCAGCTTCTTCAGGTCTGCGTAGCTTACAGACTCTACTGGAACAGGTGCTGCAAGGTTTTCTGCGATTTCGAAGGCGTCTTGGCCGCAAGCGCAAAGCAGGGTGGCAGCCTTCAAGCTATCTTCCCTCACTTGGTTTGCCTTG